TGTAAGTCAATTCTCAGAAACTTTTAGACTAACCCATAAAATAGAATTAGCCAAAACACTCGGATTGGTACTTTAATTACAACAAATATTATTAGTACACTTCCCCATCCTAACTAAAGAACCAGGGAACAGCTTGGTGGTGGTCTCGTTTGAACCTCCCAACTGACCTTCCTTCATTCTCTCCTTCAGTGTACTGTGTGTGGACATATAGGATCACAAGTAAAGGGGATATCCCAAACTGGACCAGTCGAGGGCAAGAGGCTAGTGGGTACTTGGCACTCGAGGGAGCGTACCAGTAGCAAGTGATATAACAGCTCCTTGAGGGAGCTTCCTGAGGTTGGGTTGATGGGTACTTGGCACCCAGACGGGCATACCGGCAATGAATGGGATTCCAGCTCCTTGAGGGAGCTTCTTGAGGTTGGGTTGACAGATACTTGGCACCCAAATGGGCATACTGGCAATGGGGTATAAGACCGTTCATTTGGCAAGCAGTCTGTGTTCGTGTCAACAGGTACTTGGCACTTGTATGAGCGTACCGGTGACAGAGGGGTTAGTCATTCATAGGTCGAATGACACATGGTGGGATCAGTGGCTACTTGGCACTCACAAGAGCGTACCAGTGATGAAGGGAACAGGCTTGTATCGAATACTAATCCATCCATAGAGTTAACCAGATTCTCACCATGTGGTGAGACAGATGAGAGCCCGGTACCTGGGTGAGCGATGTGAGTCGTAACAGAAGGTGTTTGCGCATACCTGAGTTGAGTCATGCACGAACTTGACAATCCATGGCTAGAGTCATCAACCTCAGTAGGGATGACCCATATAGATGGTGACCGAGACATATACAACCTTACACAGACGTTACAATGTTGGCACAAGGAGGTTTACAGTTGTTGCACAGAAGGTGGGAGTGTGTTATTCATTAAGTTCCGTCTTTCTCAGCTGTAGCCGTACATGAACATGACACTGACTATTGAATATGAATGATCACAAGAAGTCTCATGAAATGGAATAAATAATCTGGCCAGCATCAAAACCCAATAAGGGAAAGCTTAGCATGGAGTGAGTGTATAAGAAGGGGGGGGAACAGGGAGAATGTAAGAAAGAGATGGGAGGATGTGGACAAGGAGGACCCACTGTGGTTGATGTTCAGTCGACATGGTCACGAGAGACTCCATTCCTATAACATGCATGTTGTAGAGACATCCATATGGCCTTTGGACACTCATTTATATTTCATAATATTGAGAACTGGCCAAGTACTGGCCAATGGCATGATGGGCACTACTAGGGCACTACTAGGGCACAACAATGAATTGGCCATAACTCCTGAACCGTTTACCAGACTTCCATTCCCGTTACACCGTTGGAAAGGTGTGATTTTTCTCTTTTTTATGATACCAAAAAATTGCCATGGCACAAGTATTATGATTCATAATACCTACTGTGATTAGATAGAAGTGCATCTGTGACAACTTTTTGTCACAATTTTTGTGACACAAGCGGTGATGCATACTCTGTTCCTCCAAGGGGAACAGAAATGTGTGACAAAGTTCTGTCACAATAATTTTGTGACACAAACGGTGATGCATACTCTGTTCCTCCAAGGGGAACAGAAGTGCATCTGTGACAACTTGTGTCACAATATTTTTGTGACCCAACTGGTGATGCATACTCTGTTCCTCCAGGGGGTACAAAAATGTGCAAGCCAAAGTAAAACTTGCTAGAGTGCCCTACTGCTTGATGCCCTAGCCCTAGGGCAGGATGACCCAGGTTAGGGCTAGGGATCCTGCCCTAGGGATTTTTCAAACCCTGGAACCCTAGGCCCCCTCTTAGAGTGCTTTCCTACCATCTTCAGAGTTTGGTCACTGCTCCCGCTTGCAACATGAAATGGGGGGGTTTGATGGTGCCGATTGTCGGTTGGCATTGGGGTGTTTTCAGCTGAGTCTCTTTTGTCTGGCTTGGGTTTTGGGATTGAGCCACTAGCTAAATTCTATTCACATTTCAAACACATCAAGGAGGCCTTCTAGGTCCGTTGCAGGCACAGGGTGAACGCGGCGGTGATGGCAGTGATATAGGGATGGTAAGATACAGGAGGGAAAATGGGTGGATACATTGAACAGCAGGAAAGGTGGTCCATGTAAGAGAGAGAAAGAAAGAAAGAAGAAAGGAAGAAGAAAGGAGGAAAGAAGGAAGAGGTGGTGTGGAGTGGGGGTCGGGCAGGGCATGTTGGGGTGTGCCCTGACATCAACTAGGTTTCTGGGACTTTCCTTGTTGTGAGCATGCATGACCCTGACACATTGCTAGTTGTCTTAAGAGGTCCTTAATTTCAGACTAGTGATGGGGAGTCACAAACACAAAATGGAAATGGAAACCTCCATTTGTCATATCCACACATACCTGATCTGTCATATCCATACAACTCCGGACCTCTGCTCCTGTTCTGGACCTCCATCTCCTCCTCCAGAACTCCAGAACCTCCACCACCTCCTCCCCCTGTTGGTTGTTGAGAGCCCACTCCACCTCTGGCTCCAACACAATGTCCAACACTACCTCTGGTCCGACTCCGGTTTACTCTGGGTCCGATCCCAACCTCGTACCTTCCAGACCAGAGTTTGCGATGCTCTGCACCTCCAGCTCCGGACTCCTGTACTGGAACCTCATCACACCTCCACTCCGGTCGCATCTCCACCTCCGGACTTTGACCTCCTCCTCCATCTTATCTCCTTGTATTCCTTATTACATTTCATTTATTATGTCTTGCCAATATTCCGGACTTAGACTTCCGACTCCGGACCTCCGGAACTTACTCTGGACCCTGCAGTCTCTACTGTATGGTGTCATTTAATCCTCTTGTTGCCTCTTCCTTATTTAGACAGCTTCCACTTCATTCCCCTCTTGGCCTTGCCCTTTTTTGGGAAGCACCATAGAGTCCCAACCCTTGACCCTTGGGGTTGTTCCCTCATCCTGTCCTCCTTCCAGTTCCCTTTGTTCTCTGACTCCACTCCTGTATCGTTATATATATACTCTGTACTTAGTTTCCTGTACCCCCCAGTCTGAAATCGACGACCATGACGACTGGATTGTCCCCCAAAGAGACTCCCCCTGCTAACCTGAAGTTAAGCACCACCTTAGACAACAAGCAATGGCACAGCACTCCACTCAAGTCGCTGAGGCCAAGGTCCCTCCATTCCTGAGTCCCTTCTCCACTTCCAGACAACTCCCATACTCCTCTAACATGATCCTGATTTGACTTCTGGACCCCTCTCCACCACCTCCAGAGTCCTACCCCTATCCCATCTGCTCCAATCTCCACCTTCAGACCTGACACCACCTTCCTCTCCTTCCCGCTCCTGTCCCATACCCTGAACTCAGACACTGTTTGTACCTCCGCTCCAAGAATCCCATCATGTTCCCAACCTCTGACTTTGACCCCCACCTCAGCTTAAGTCCATTGCATTGGTGACCTCATTTCACGTAAACGCCATTGCCAATATATTCCTCAGACTTCCAACCCCTGCCTCCATAAGCTCCACTACCTCCAAGCTTCACAGACCTACCTCAGCACTTTCACCATCTGTAGTGTGTATACTTTGCACTTCTCCCTCACCCTTCTTATTTGGACTACTGCTTCTTTCCATTTAGCCAGTTAGTCATCCACCCCACACTTCCCCTCATCCTCCTGCCACTGCCCCTCTGGGCCCTTGCCCTCCTTACCTCCTTTCAGATGCACCATAGAGTCTAATAACCCTTGACCCCTTGGTGCATCTGTAATTCCCTTTGTCTCTGTTTGGATGCCTTTGTTCCGTTTTGGACCCCCCCCCAAAGCAAAGCAATCTCAATGGCAGGCACCCAGAGAAGATGACACACCCCAACTGACTACTGACTTGCAATATAAATTTTACTTAAAAAAAAAAATCCCTTCAAAAAATTACCATACATGGAAATTCCAAAAAAGGAAATTCCTAATAGGGAATTCTAAAAGGGAAATTTTCTATATAAAGTAATTCCCAAAAAGGAAATTCCATAAAGGGAAATACCAAAAAAGGAAAGTTTCCTTTTATAGAAGGACCTTTCCTCATTGGGAATTACCCCATATAGGAATTTCCTTTTATGGAAGGCATAGTAAGGCTACTATGACGGTAGTAGATCCCTTGGGTCCAGGGTGCAGAAATGTCCACCCTTATAACTTTTCAACCACTCAACTAAATTTCAAATGATTAGTACCCATAGAAACGTCTGATTTTTCTCTTTCTTTCAAGCTCACAAAATCCCCAGGGTGCAGCCCCAAATCCCTTTTCCTGGGTTCTTCTATACATTTTTACCATATCTTCTCTCAGAGTTTGTGAGCAGATGTTCAGCGTGGTAGAACTGAGGTGGAATGCATATTTCTTGGGATTTTATCCAAGTGAAAAATGTTGCTTACCATCCCAGGCTCAATCGTCCACTCCTCTTCTCCCTTGGGTTCAAGTAAGTTCCCAGGCAATTCACCACCAACCTTCTGGACCCTCTCAAACTGGCTCCAACTCCACTTCATCACATTTTTGCCCCTTTTGGGATGTTCAAGGTCCTCTTCCATGTTTGAGAATGTGAGCTGGGAGAGACCTCAGGATGGGGGAAGGTGGTCATCGTCCATGTTGTTGAACCTTTGGTTCTCATCCTCAGGTCTGAGGATGTGACCATCAGAGCAAAGTATGGCTAGGTGCCAGAGACAAATCTCAAAGGCAGCCCCCCAGAACTAACTGACTGAGTGAGCAAGAAGAGTACGAGAAAAGGGGGAAAATGTTCAACTTACATTTTGCATCCCCCCCCCCATATGCCTTACAAATGACCACTTTGTGTATTGGATGAACCATTTGACCTTTCTCATGAGAGTCATAACCCTCAGCATCTCCATTGAACAAAGCACAGGCCTCAAAGGCTCCAGTGAATTGTTGCTCCCAAGCATCCCTGCCCACCACGCTCTCCTCTGTAGGCCAGTCGGGACTCGGTCCCTGTTGACAAAGGTTCCATAGGCATTGACATAATCATCAAGCAACAGATTTGGAGCCTTTTCCACAGGGGCATTATCTTGAAGTACCCAGGTGAAAAACATGGAATCCCCCATTAAGGCTTCGGTGGTGGGGAAAATAATTATTGTGTGGAGGCCAGGATGAAAGATGCACAACTTACAATTTCGGTAGACATCCATTGTCCAAAATCCAATCCATCTTTATGCTGATGCACTTCTTCCAGTTGGAACTCGTGGGGTTCAGGATCCTCATCTCCACTCTCTGCCATTGTTTCCTTGGTCAAAGCCAACTGGATGGCATTCTCAAGGACTCGCTTCCTATGCTGACCATGGCACAGGTAGACCTTGAGGTGTGATGGCAAGAATTCTGAAGCCCCCAGCCTCACACTGCCTGGCTCTGATGTGAGAATGCCAGCCATAGGGTGTCTGTCACCGGTGATGTTCATTCCCCATGCTGCGAAATACTTTTTAACAAACTCCCGTTGGACCTCCCGGTTGCCAGGGAGCTGCTCCATCTGAGACAACCTGACCTGCATTGCCATGGGCATCAGCAAAAATAAAATGAAAAAAATAAAATAATATACCTTGACCTTACCCAACCAAGAGTCATCCTTCTTCCTGTTGAAACTTTGTTCTTGGGCCAGGGCTACCTCAGGGAGGGCTGCACTGCTGATGTATTTTTGGGAGTCAATTTGGTATTCAGGGGACTTTTCCATTTCCTACAGATTATGTAAGTAAGGACTTGGGGGAAAATATATATAAAAAGTTGCCTCAACAAATCTGGGTTTGACTCAGTGCCAACACCTCTCCCAACATGATAGATTGCATTTGTATGTCCTACAGACATGAAACAATCAAGCTGGACCCAGATCCACTATGATCTGGGTCAGGTTTTGGCAAAACATGTGTTTTCACACAAATTGCACAAAATCCAAGCTCAGAACCCATGTTGTGGAGAGATTTGGAAGATCTAGAGAGGCAGCAACATGAACAATGCATCTTACCATTTTCAAGGGATTTTGCCCAAAATTGCAGGTGTGGTGGACAGATCAGTTGTGTTGTGGTGATAGCAAGCAAGTGCGAAAGTAAGATCATGTGACCTATCCCCAGTGGGATAGCCCTTTCGGAATTTTCCATTTAAATTCTCACGCTACGGAATTTCCCACCTACCAATCCCCCAGGGGATTGCTCTGTGGCTGTGTGTCCAGTGTGTCTGTGCACCATCACCCTCACTGTCTTGAATGCCGTCACCACTGATTCCCACGGTCTCAACACACTTTACAATATATGGATAGTCCTTGAAAATGGTTTCCCAAATATGTATAATTATTTCCACAATTGACCAATAAATCATTGAGAAAAATGCAAAATACTTTCCCAGACGCCGCGAATATGCATCGAGTAGCAAAAATCAAAGGCTCCAAAAAAATCCAATCCAAAAAAATCACATTAATATTCCTTGATGACTGTAGACCTATTTTGGTGCAAACAGCTTCTTTATCGGTCTGCTAGATCCAAAGATATTCTCCATTCTTTAACTTTTGTACCCCTTGTACCCCCTTGTAGCCCAAGAAATTAAAGGGCCCATAAAATCCCAAAAAATGATATTAGGATTCTTTGATAATAGTAGACCTATTTTGGTCTAAAGGAATTATTGTAGTTATTTTAGATCTCAAGATAATTGACATTTGCTTAAGATGCATCCTCCAAAGGTTGTTTCTTGAATAGTCCTCTAACCTGGGCAGCTATGCACTTGGTTTCCTTTGCATTTGGCAGGTCTCAGCAATGTTAATGATATTTGTGTCAGCATCCTGAAGTAAATTGTTGAGTAAGGTGATGGGGTACGAGGGGGTACAACAGGGTACATTGCAAAGATTCCCCTATAACTTGGCAATGGCTGCACTAAATTTCATATGGTTTGTATGATTGGAAAACTATGATTTTACTCCATTTCTGTAGGCTAAAATGTTTGTAGAATTCATTAGTTGGGTAATTGGCTATTGCCTTGCTGTACCCCCAAAAGCCCAAGTGTCCACAAAAATCTGGATAATTCATATTAGTGTTTATTGATTAAGATAGACCTACTTTGGTCTAATATACATGTCAATAGAGTCCCTGGCTCCTGAGATATTTTACATTCTTTCAAGTTGTACCCCCTAACAATTGTTTTGTGAATAACTCAGCAATGACAACAGCTATTTATTTGGTTTCTTTTGCGTTTGGTAGGCCCTAGTAGCCCCTAAAACATATCTTATTTACCGGTGGTGTTTTAAAGTAAACTGCTGAGAAAAAGTGCGGGGTACATCGGGGTACAAGGGGGTACATGCAAACATTGATGAATAACTCGGCAACCACTGAGCAGAATTCTAAATTTTTAGTACCGTTGGAAAGCCACGATTATAGGCTATATTTGGGTGCCCAAACATCCACGGGGTACATCAGTAATAGGCTATGCCTGGTGTTGAAAATAGATTGGTGTTGTTGCCAGTAGCAAGCACAACTCAGCCGTTTTCGTCAAGGCTGTTAATGAAGATGGGCTGGTTCCTCATGAACCCGTTCCTCTTGTTGACCTCAACCTCCCTATCCCACCAATTCCTATTCTCATTGGAGACAATGACAAAGTTGAGCAAGTCTCTGTTCCGGTACTCACCCAGTTAGCACAGGGGATAACCAGCCTTGCTCGCTCCACTGCCCATCCCACTCCAATCCCTGCTCCCAGAAACGCTCCTGTACAACGTCCAAGAACCCAACCGTTTGATGGGGTCGATCCTCACAAACTCCACACCTTCTTGGTCCAGTGTGAGTTGAACTTTCAGGACTGCCCCCTGGCTTTCATGAGTGACCACTCGAAGATTATCCACACACAGTCATTCCTGATGGGGATGGCACGTGATCGCTTCAAACCAGATCTTCTGGAAGGGCTGCCTGAGGGCGCTCAACCTTTGTGGATGGATAATTTTCAGGAATTCATTTTAGAGCTTAAGGAGAACTTCAGTCCTCATGATCCAATGGGCAATGCTGAAGACGAGATCCTCCAGTTGAGTATGAAAGATGGACATCACATCAATAGGTACATTGTCGAGTTTAATCGATATGCTACACAGTTGCATGGTTATGGCGAGCCTGCACTTCGTTGGTTCTTTTACGACAGACTGCCAGAGCATCTCAAGGACGATTTCTCATGTGTCGCTAGGCCTACTTCACTTTCTGCCCTCCAAAAACTCGTGCAGATGTTTGATGTGCGATATTGGAAGTGTAAGGCTGAAGCTGGACGCCAGGTTAGACCTCTGCCCTCCTTCGCCACTACCTTTGACAAGGCTGCTGCCTCCCGAACAGCAAGTACTTCCTTCCACCCTTCTTCTGCTCCTTTTCTGCTGTGGTTGCGAAGCCTCCTAAAGACCACAAAAAGTCTGAAGGACGCCCCACAGCCAAACCGGACCTCTCTTCAAAACTCGGTGAAAATGGCAAGCTAATGCCAGAAGAGCGTAAGCACCATTTTGATGGGAATCTCTGTATGTTTTGTGGCTTGTCTGGCCATATGGTCAAGGACTGCCTGAAATCATCCTCTCATGCTTCCAAGGCACAAATTGCCCAAACTGTGCACTCTATGGCTCCTCCTGTAGAGCCAAAAAATTAGTTCACAACTCTGTGGACTCAGCACGAACTCCCTCATGTGCTATCAAAGAGGTTTGCTTAAGTGCTGCCTCAATTTCCGAAACATCCTCCCTCATCATTCCTGTTTCTTTTGCTCCTTTCTCTTCTTCTCTTTTGTCTGAAAATGGTCTATTTTCTCCTCCTCCTTCTCTCCCTTCTGTTGTTGATTCAGGAAAACTGTTTTCTCCAAATGGTCTACCTCCTTCATCTTCTGTTGCTCCAATTCCCCTGTCCTCACTTCCTCTTTCTCCTTTGCCTGTTACTTCTGTTCTGTTATGTTACTCATGTCCCCAATTTGGGCAGGGGGGCTGGTGATGAAGGAACTGAGGCTACCAGGAGAGGGGGCCTGAAGGCCACCCCCTTACTACTTATGTAATGATGAAGGCATTAGCAAGGTTCAATCACTCATCATGCAATTCTACTGGGTTTTTTACCAAAGCACCTTGTGCACATCTGTTGCTCAAGACTAATGGGACTGTAAGGAATGGATGGTAGAGCAGTGGTTACTTGTTTATTTCTTGTTGTACAATTGAATTTACATTTATATGGCTCAGGCTTGGGTAACTTTATCCTCATGTCATATCCATCCACTGCCATCACCTTCCATCACCTCCAGCCATCCCAGACTGCCTCCGCTCCTTTGTCTCCAACCTTGGAGCCCCTGAATCCTGCAATCTCCTCCAACTTCCCTGATGGTCACCACCCACCCATTTCAATATATGCCTCCCTAAGTACTGAACCCTGAAGGACTCCAGACAGCTCTGATGTCCACAAGCACACCCCCACCTCCACTGGGTCATTTAGTTGCCTACCCTGCAAGTCCACCTTTGGACCGATCTCTCCATTCCACTTCTGGGTTATAACCCATTAACCCTGTAACCTGAGTCATCAGTAGTATTCAGTTGGCTAACCCTTGACCCCATTAGGTCAGCTCCATCTAGACTCCCTCTGTATCTAATATACATAACTTGTAGTTACCATATGTCATATCCATCCCCAGCCATCGACTTCCGTTCTCTCCGACCCCTCCATTCTAACTCCGCTCCCCCCTCACCAACCTCGGAGCCCCCGTATTCCGCAAACCTCTCGGTACCCCACAATGGTCACCACCCCCTCATTTCAATTTATTACCTACGCCTCCCTAAGTACGGAGCCCCGAAGACTTCCAGACAGCTCCGATGTCCGCTAGCGCACTCCTGCCTCCGCTGGGCAATACACTCACCTGCCCTGCAGAGCCCACCTTCGGGCCTATCCCTCCTTTCCGTTTCTGGGTTAACGCCTGCCTTTCCGCTAACCCCGCGAACCGACTCGTCGGTAATATTCAGTCGGCTAATGTCTTAACCCCGTTAGCTCCGCTCCATTCGGCTCCGCCAATTGCAGAACCGTCTCCGCTGTAACCATACATATACACTACTTGTACATAGGTTACGCCCCAGCAGATAAATCAACTAGAGTTACCCCCCTAGGTTCTAAGTGCCAGTCAGTAAGTTAGGGCACGGACGTGTCACTAGGCACAGTGCTCTTGGCAGAAGTCGCTGAGGCCAAAGCCCTCCGTTACGGAGACATTCCTTCGTCTCAAGTCTGGTCTCTGACACCATACACCTTAGTGAACAAATTGACTAGAGTTAATCCCCCTCTTCTAGAAGTCCCCTCAGTCCATAAATTAGGGCACCAATGTGATACTGGGCACAGTGCTCCTGGTAGAGTCGCTGAGGCTGTAGCCCTCTGAACAAAGAGATGTTTTCATTTGTCCTGAATCCAGTCTCTGACACCTCACCTGCTTGTCAAATCATAAGGCTAAATATCAACAGCCAGAGGACTGAGGAGTCACCCAGGTTGGAACCCCAACTGACTCATGCACAACTCACACACATCTCCAGACACATTTATATGCTCTACGAAGCTTTCCCATGGTGTGCTGTAAGGGGGGCAAGGGATCCACCACCCCAACAAGAAAGAGGGGAAGGGAGAAGGGGGAAATGGTCCAGGTGCTATGTGGTAAGTTGTAAATCTCACTGATAATCAAACTAAGGGGATCTCTGCCCCTGCAGTATATTGGGTC